TCCTGCTTGTCCTGTCAGACTTCCTGCTTGTCCTGTCAGACTTCCTGTTTGCCCTGTCAGACTTCCTGTTTGTCCTGTCAGACTTCCTGTTTGTCCTGTCACTTCCTGCTTGTCCTGTCAGACTTCCTGTTTGGCCTGTCAGACTTCCTGCTTGTCCTGTCAGACTTCCTGTTTGTCCTGTCACTTCCTGCTTGTCCTGTCAGACTTCCTGTTTGCCCTGTCAGACTTCCTGTTTGTCCTGTCAGACTTCCTGCTTGTCCTGTCAGACTTCCTGTTTGTCCTGTAAGACTTCCTGTTTGTCCTGTCAGACTTCCTGTTTGTCCTGTCAGACTTCCTGTTTGTCCTGTCACTTCCTGCTTGTCCTGTCAGACTTCCTGTTTGTCCTGTCAGACTTCCTGCTTGTCCTGTCAGACTTCCTGCTTGTCCTGCAGGTGCTGTACATTTTCAGTTTTCTAGATTTGTCCGTGAAGCACCTAACAGTCGTGCGTTCACCCTGAGCTCGAGGCCTCTCGATCTGCAGAATTCAATTACTGACTCAGGGTTATTCTCACATTTATTCTTGCCTGAAAGTCAATTAAGGCGACTACAAACCTTGAATGATTTTGTGATTAAAGGAAATTGAGGAGGGTGAAAAACAAGGAAAGAGAAAAGAAATGTGACAGTGAAGAGTGAAGGAGAGTCTCAGAGAGAAAGAGAGAGAAAGGGGGAAGAGGAGGATGAAGAGGAAGAGGAGGAGGAGAGGGAAATGCCCCAAAATAGAAACCAATTCCAGAGAGGAGAAATGGAAATACAGCGAGAGCAAAAAGGAGGAGCAACAAAACAATCGACGGGAGACGAGAATATTGCAACAACCATGAAATTCAAGTCGATCATAAAATTTCAGGAATGATTAATGAATTATTTAAATGATGAAAAAAGTTGGAATGCCAGAGGAGCTTGGAATATGTTTTGTTAAAAAATAAAATACTCTGATAGCTTAATTTTTACTGTTGGTACAATTTTGTTTTATAGTTTAAACTGTTTTATTTCTAATTTTTATAACTTTTTTTTTTAAGATTTTTTTTTTCTGTTGTCATTTTCTGTAACATAAAAATATCCCAGTGTTGATGTAGGATTTCCTTTTAGATAAATCCTATAGTTAGGGTTGGCTTGGGTTTCCTGAGCTGTCCCTTAGTTCTGCTGCTATAGGCTCAGACTGCTGGAGGACAAACTGACCTCATGTCCTCTCTCTGCTGCTGACTATATAAACTACACCTGGACTATAGAAACTACACCTGGACTATAGAAACTAC